TTAATGGGATAATGATATTAATAACTATGATTTGACCGAACTCAAAAACCATTTCTGATTTGTAATTTTCTCAGGTCAATGTACATTACATCGCTGTATATGAAACATTATTTTTATTGAGTATTCGAATAGTAATTTTATAAAAAATGTGTGGTGACGTGGCTTTTACTTTAATACGCGCGAAAATGGATAACGTTATTCTATTAATTTGTAAATATGTTTATTTAATGATTATAAAAAATAAGTTTGACTTAATCTTCCTCAAATAAAATATGATTGTTTTAAGAATTAAAATAATATGAATTGATAGACTTAAACCTCTCAATATGCCAACACAGTGTGGCTAATTTATTAAGCGTATAGATATTTTAGGCTAGCTGAAGTCGCTGAGAACTAGAAAATATCCTTTAATAATTTTGTGTTTTGAAGGGTTAATAAGAAGTATTTTATTTCATTTATGAACTATTTTCTAATAATGAATTTCTAAATCAAACAAGTAAGTTATTATTTTTAATTCCTCACTTGATGTATGATTTCAATGTTCCGACATTTGGATGTGATAGAAAATGAGTGCATTCCTAGGGATGCTATGGGATACACTCGTATCATATTATACCCATCGTATGGTTGATCTTGTTTATTTTCTTCTACCGTTTGTGAAAGCTCTGAATGTAATTCTCATTAATATGCATACGTAGTAAATACAACTCTTTACTTTACAATACCTTCCCTGTTTATACTTTTTTCTTAATTAATTTAATCGTGAGAAATGTCAAATTTAGTTTCTTTAAACCGAACCCAACGATAAATTTGTTTTCAAATTCGTTCGAAATGTCATTCACCTACCCGATATTACTTTAAAGCCATGCAAACAAAGGTGTTAATTTTCTATTTCGTAACAAATGTTACCCTTTCTCCAAATTCCTACCTCCTACCTTAGCTACACGCCTGATCCTGTGAGATAGAAGACCGCGTTCCCTCCCCCTCCACATCCCCTGCCGCGTAGTTGCCTGCGCCGCTGCGACCCACGAGCGTATATTGTATTAATGTCGTCCGCTGCGTGTCGCCGGAGCGGAGCTGTGTGGCGCCGGCTCATGCGTTCTCTGTTGCCGGTGTGGTGGCGGCGGCGGCGCTGTGGTGACGGCTGTTGGCGCGACAGAAGGAGAACCTAACATACATTAAGGTGAGTAACACTAAGCGCCGGCTGTCGCTGGAGATTAATCATGTTGGATGGGGAAGGGATGCGCTGCAGAAATTACTAATGTATTGTGTGTGTGTCTATATGCAGATCTTACCTTCAATTATAATTCTGGTATGATGCGTTTAAGTTCGCGCAAAGATAAGTATCTTCAAGTGGCAACAGTTTTGAAGGCTTTAAATCTGTTACCTATGTCTTCAACAAATATAGCGCTTCTACAATTGTCATTCTACAGTCAATTGAATGAATCAAATATTAAATACAATTTGTCTGCATTTATCAAATTTATGTCTTTTGATCAAGTTTATAAAGACTTTAGAAAACGTTTCTGTATCAGGATTTGAAAGAAATTTCCAGGTGAAAGAAAAACTTACAAGACTGAAAGGTCCATTTCTTTTTTAAAAAATATATAAAACTTACGGTATATGAAAAGGATACGATTTATATACGATAGGATATATAAAAAGGGAACGACAGGAGGAAATTGAGAACTTACATTTGTTTTTCGTATGTTTGTATTTTGTATGTTTGAATTAACCCCAATCATGTCCTGTGTTATACAAATTACTAGTTCACGTTATAAAGCTCTCTTTTAAGAAAATTGAAAAAAGATTTGTTATTCACAATCTTAATATTAACTTTGTAGTACCTCCACTCTAATGCCATGTTAAAGCAGCTATGTTTGGAAAACAAGATAAGGTGAAACAAACTCAGTAATAATCATAAAATAAGCGAGACAGGTATTTAATTATACTACATATTTTATCTTTATTTAAAGATTTTACTAACATAAAAGCGAATATATTTTAAAAAAAAATGTAGTGCCTAAAAGTTTGTTTTCTAGCAATACGTGTCCTACGATACCCAAGTCTAATATTTCGTATATATTTATTGTCATCTTATGTGATGAGACGGCAATTATTCGCAATCATTTATGCGAAAACATACTTTGTTGGAAGATTGTAGAGAAAAGAGGTGTCACATTTGTAGATTATCAATATTACGTACGTATATTGTCCTACTTGTCAAAAAGTTGCCTTAGGTTTGAAAAGCATATTTATCAAATTAATTTGCCAAAGGTAATTATCGATAATAGATGCTTATAAAAACACGACCAGTAATATAAAAACACGAAATTAATGTTAATTGATGTTGAAGGGAAAATTGAATGAAGCACATAACAGCTGAATTTTACCTCACGTTTGTAATGCTAAATATTACCTGAGGCTTGTTCCCAGAATACAGGATTTAGTGAATTTCCTGAGGATATTTTGTTGGAAGCATTAAATGGAATTTTAGCCAATTTTTAAAACGTAATATATTTCGAGCCTTACACTTCAATGCGCTTTGCTACGGATCTACGAGTATGTTCTAATCTCGCGTATTGTGAGGTATTTGTAAATAAGTACATTTTTCAATTTAACATTGACATTTATGAAACGCATCTCTCACATTTTTACTTTTGATTTGACACAATCAACTAATACAATTAATGATACCTTCTTCAAAATTGACTCTTTACAACGAATTTTATCAGCCGGTGAATAATTTACATAATAGAATGAAATATTAAATCTATAATCAGGTCTAATCAGGCTACATCTATTACTCAGAGCTCGATAATAAGAGAATGCCTCCATTCCGTTTGATTTATTTTTATCCCAATGATAAATTTTTAATGATCAACCAGTAATTAAATGTGAATATTTTTAGAAACTCTGGAAGATGTTTATGGTATGATTTTAGAATAGATGTATTTTTCAAAATATATTTTTGAATATGTATTTAAAACAATATAATTGAAATGATCTATAATGTTAAAAAGTAATATCAATAGTGTTAGAGAAAGAACACCTCTTAAAACTAGAAATTATCTTCATAAACACTAAAAGATTCTTAAAAGCTTTCTGGCGGTTGCAACTTATTTAAAGTACGTAGTTTAGAAGGAACAATCTAACCTTTCAATTCCTTATCAGATCCTCACTTGTACAGCTTGTTACATAATCAGTGATAGTTAGCAAACACTTTTTTATGTCAAAAGTTTATTGTATTTAATGTTCCTAAATTGTTGTCGTATTGCTATACGAGAAAAAAGATATGAGAATGAAATTAACAAAAAAATAATTGACAAATATTGTATATTTAGAAACTATTAAGCCATTAACCATAAAATTACTGGTGAATACATTCAGTTCTTAGCAAATACTGTTTTATAATAGGGAGAGTTGTAGTGATTATGGTATTCAGTTGAGAGGTTTATTTAGTCCAGTTATTTCGTACGACGTAATGTATTACTAGTAGTTTTTTTGTACGCCAGCATTAAAAACCACATTTTCTTTTGCAAGAAATAATTCATAAAGATCAATCATGATCTATTAGCAATTTACGGCACGAATTAGAATTAGAATTATGGAAATAAATTGTATGAATGAATCTTTTCTAATTTTAGCTCTGAGGATGATCGCTACGCGATCGAAACGATCATCAGCCAAATAAATTGTTGATACCAGACAACATCTTTTATTTATCATATTTAAATATTAGAAGTATCTACCTCAGCCACGATCTAATTAATACATTATTTTGCTAATTTGTAACGCTGTTATACAAAAAATAGCGTATGTAACTCGTATATAATGCTTTATAGCATTCCTACAAATTTAAAAACTCGCTTCTGACGTCTCTCGTTTTCAAAATATGTACTCATGCAATAAAAACGTTATCATTATTAACTAATTGCATGAAATATAGTATAATGTTATTTGATATATAATTTTATACAAGTGATTCAGAATAAATGTTAAAAAATTCTAGAAACGTGGGGAGTCTAAGTTGCTCACATTTTGCCAACAAACATGATGGGGGTGGGAAACCTCATTTACCCACGTCCTTTTTGTCAGGCAACTCCTCTTAGACTGGTGTTAGAGTGGTGTACAAAATCGCTTTGACAGCATTAAAATGGATAACTAGTAAACAGCACTGCAAGTTAAATTACCTACCAATCAGCACAAAATGTTTCATGCCATATGTTGTCCGAGATTTCCCAACACATGTTCGTGGTGAAAAGGTCACCATCTTCGATGCGTCACGTCTATTGGTAACATTTATTTGGAGACGTCGTCTCTATTTGAATCCACAGTGTTCCATGTTATTATATTTAAATAGTCACCACATTAAAACATTTTTTATCTACGACAGTGCGCATAGCTTAGTATCGCACAAAGTAAACGTCATATTGAAAGGCGTGATCTTCTGGATTTATAACTACATTCTTTTTTCGACTAGTATATAAAAGAAATATAATATAATATTAAACGGAACTGCAAATGCTTATTATAAGTATTAACTCTTAACTACATTGTTCAATAAAAGTGTTCTAATAGGACCTATGGAACTCAAAAAGTTAATCTGACATTTTTACAATGCTTCATGTAAACGCCAAATCAATAAAACAAACAAAAGTCTTTATTGGGAAAACAAACATATTAAGTGTCTAGAGAATGATTAATATATTGTAAAATGATATAAAAAATCAGTCTGACGGCATTGAATATTGAACTATGCACGTTTGATATAACATCATAATGAAAATCTTTCTTTAACTACTAGTGTACTCGCGTTCGTCATAATGTGGTTCATGTTGCGACTACTACTTCATTTAAAAAATAGTACATATTTCTAATATTTATTTTATTTTAAGTCATATCGACGACGAGGTTATTAGCAACTGCAAAAAATAGTATTTTGTCTTAAATTATTTCGAACTGTTCGTACATGTGATGTGATTGCCACATGTTGCCAGACGGAGACAGCGCTCATGTACGACGCGGTGCTGCTGTTTGGAAAGGCCCTGCACGACCTTGACAGCAGCCAGCGCATCGACATCAAGCCCCTCAGCTGCGATGCCGCCGACACTTGGCCCCACGGCTACAGCCTCATCAACTACATGAAGATCGTGAGTAGCCGTGCACTATGGGATTTTGTTATTACACGTCGCGTTGGTTAAAAATATGTATGCAAAACCTAACAAAATTAAAAAGAAAAGAGGGTGTTGTTTACACCATACTCGTTTAACGACAGTAAATCAGATTTTTCAAATTACAATGTATCTCCCTCTAAAGAGAAAATCTTCCAAAATATTTGGTAAAAATAATATTTGAAGAGAATAAATTACCACTTATTTAGTGATCAAACAACCTCCTTCAATAATTCAATGGATTGTTTAACTCGTTTCGTCACGTCATCTGCTATGCTCCTTTGTCTCTTTATTGCAGGGAATACTATTCCTATATGTTGAGGAGTACGGAGTGTTAAATATGAGGTTTGACATGGGATGATGTTTAAATTGTATTTTACATTTACATTATAAATAATTGTAAGAACTTTTATGGAAGCACGATCGTTGGAGGTTCAAGCGGTAAAGATAATGTTTGCCGATGCTGCCGTCGCAGCCGCCGGTGCCTTTTCAGCCAATACTCTCTACCCTTAGGATGAGCACGCCTATCATAGGGAGCGTTCGTAGTAGAGATAATGATTGGGGGATATCTGGAGGACATCTAGCCTGTCAGCTTCTCATTCGTTGGCAGTTGGTTGAGAATTTTGTAATAGTTAACTACGAAAGAACCAGATGGCGTTTTCCTCCGTACAGCGCTGCCAAATATACAGAAAGCTGGGACTTACAATTCGGCCGGGACTCATTTTATGAGTCGTATTACGTATTTTCTTATTAACAGGATGTTAAACATTTAAAAAGTACATTTTGGTGATTGTTGAATTTTTAGTCGGAATACTATAAATCCATGACGAAATATTTTGAGAAGTTGAAAAAATGAAAATTTGTAGTCAAAATGATTTTCCACGATTACGAAACAATTTTCTTTATTGGGGTTGTAATCTGCAAGTTAATTTAAAATATATCTCATAGCAATGTGTATAAGAAAAAAATCAATAATTACGAATGAACGAATTTCTAAAAGAAAATTTATAAAGATAAGACATGTTTGCTGTTTTCTGAAAACTGAAATCAGTCATAATATTAATGGAAGTATTTACATATGCTGGAAAATCAGTATTTTGAGTGGAAAATGCTCTATTTAAGTAACCATACCAAATACAAGTTCAGTATTAATTCCTCTGAGTACAGAGCTCGCACATATTCTCACTAAGTTCGTGGGTGTGTGAGAATGTCTTTGGAGGCACCAAGTGGAATGATGCATGTGTACGGGTACACAAAATTTATCGGCAAACTCCCAAATTGCTTTCATGGTACGGAAGACTGGTAGATCCCCGAACACCAAGTTAATATTGTAAAACTCAGTAGTTGAGGGCTAATAACTCCCTAGAGTTTTTGACATGTCGATAACATATAGAGCCTTAGGGATGGTGCGTGTAGCATATGTGGCGAAAGGAAATAACTTCAGCCCAGCGCGATAAATTCGATTAAGCTGTCTCGTCGGATCAAAGTGTAACGCAGATTGTGTATTCGAGAGTATCGTATATATTTCTGGTTTTACAAAAAATTACGTAGAAAATAAAGCAATGTTCGTAATTCAATAATAAATGTAAATAGAAACTTCCAACAAAATCGAACATTTTTCGTTGTGTTATAATTACATCCCTTTTAAAACAGTCTTTTTCCCCTCCCTAGAGCGTGCAAATATTTTTGGAAACATTTTTTTGCGAAATCGCAAATGTCTTACGTAACCTAATTGTTTAGTGAATGTTATTATAGACAAAAGACGTATTGTAGTGCTAATTTGCATGGATAGAACTCTTCCGAAGACACTTTAAAATTATTTTAAAGGTATTATTTTGATATTGAAGATATTTTCTGAAATGTCTAATTTCTCAAAAATGGCATGTTTTACATTTTACTTCTATTGACTTATTTTGAATAATTGTTTTAAAACTTTTTAACTTATTACCATTCAATATACTTCTTAGTTTTTGTCAACAAAATTTAACTTTTTGTAAAATTATTTACTTTTTGTTTATATCTATTATTTTCGTAAATTTGTATTATCTTTCTATGTCTTATCACGTGACAGAACACATGAATTGGTATTATTTGTTCTTAATGAATAGTTATACTGCAAAACGTACGTAGAGAAGCGTGTTGAATTCTATGTCCTAGATCATATACGTCTGTCTCGTGAAAATCACTGCATTTCGTGAATATTAGCAGTTTATAATTGAAACGCCGATGCTTTGAAAGGGAACAAGAGAAAATTTAAAAAAACAATAGCCATATTTGACGTGAGGTACGTTTGAAAAACTTAAATAATTCTCGTGAATTTTTGGAAAGTAGATCTCGCTTTCGAATACTGTCTGTGATAGGTCTTAATAATTCACTTCGTTGAGAACCGGAAGTCTTAAGGACCTACCATTGTCTATCACATCCAGTACAACAATTGAGGCTTTTGTACCATCAAACGTACTTCAATATTGCATTATTACTCATCACATTATCTTTATAACAAATCAGTATAATAGGTAAAAGGTTTCATCACTGTGCTCGCGTAGAAATTGAAAATTCTATTATCATTGTTCTACAAATTACTCTGGCTAATATTAATCATTCTTTACTCCTTTACAATACCTCCGTTGTTTGCTCTCTCGGTGTATGCATGTTTGCTTGCAAACTCCGTAAACTATTTAATATATTTCCTCCCCTAAATGCTTTACCTCCATGTCTCAACTGACCGACTAGTTTCAATACACCTTATATTCACCATGGTCTTTTGGGTTTTGTCTATTCTTTTGTTTTTGCCATTACCTAAATTATTAGTCTCGAGATATTTTTTTGTTATGCTGTTTACGTTTTCTCATCCTTCAACAAACAGTAACGTACAGGTATATTCTTCTTGCCCATCGTCCCTTTTCTCGCCATCAGCGGTCCACGAAAGGCGCTACGACTCCTTTTCCACTCAACACTTCAGATTCAACGTGATTATCGTGCTGTTGATTCACTTCGAAGGTAGGCAGCAAATGCTTGCCTCTTGGAATCAGTAACATCAGATGCTGTTACATTCCTCACTATACAGCCTTTACTCCCTTTCTATATTCACCGATTTTGTCTCGATGTTTTCCTCATCAGTTCTTTGTTTACCACGTTCCCAACGACTTCAATAGTCCCCTCACTCCTGGCATCATTCTCCATTCGGCATTTACTCATCGATTTCCTGCAGAGCTCGTTTCCGTACATCTATAAAAGAGTCCCACAGCGTGGACAGTTCCGATGAGGTCTTGCTTCAGTGACACTTTAATGGGGTTAATTGGCTCTCATTCAGATGTCTCTGATACTAATTAACTTTCTGACCTACTTTTTCTCCTTCCTTGTCGTACTTTTTACCTAACATCAGCGCTGAACAATTTCAGTTAATTCGTCCTTCCGCTATTTTGCCACACGAATTCACGAATTATATATATATATATAT